CGAACTTCTAGCCCTTAAGATATTCTTATAGATTAATAAGTTAATATTTTAGTATTTTAATAGTATATTCTTAAGAGTAAGTAGATAATTTAATAATAATAATAATAATAATAATAATAATAATAATAATAATAATAATAATAATAATAATAATAATAATAATAATAATAATAATAATAATAATAATAATAGTAATAATAATAGTAATAATAGTAATAATAATAATAGTAATAATAATAGTAATAATAGTAGTAATAGTATAATAATAATAAATAGCGAGGGAAGTAGCGTTTCTTAATTTTAATAATAGAAACGAGGTAACGAATATATATATATATATATAAGTAAAGTTAAAAGTATTAAAGTAAACGTGCTTATAAAGATTAGCACTAGCTATTCTTAATAATAATAATAATAGTATTTTTAATACTACTATTATAAGCTACTATTACCTAGAGGGCTATAAACTTAGCTAAGTAAACGGCTTATAAGATAGTAGTATTGCGCTTAATATTATTATTAATTTATAATTATAAACTTTATAAAAGTGAAAGTTTAAAAAAATAGAAAAGTATTTTAAAAAAATAGTTTAATAAAATAATAAGAGTATTTACTAATATTATATATTAATACTATATAACTAATATTAAGAATTACCCGAGTAACTAGCAAAGATAAAAATAAAAAAAACAAATATAATAACATTAGAGCTAAGATTATAATAAGTAAAAGTAATTATAATAATTAAAATAAGTAATAAGCTATACTTATATTTTATATATTAATTAATAATATATAGCAGATTAAACTAAAAATTATTTTCTATAATAAGCTTATAAAAAAACAAAGTTAATTATAAAAAAAAAGGCTAATTATATATAGTGGTTTTTTTTCCGACTTTATAAGTATAAAAAATCGACCTTAATAAGATTACGCTTTTAAAAGAAATTATATAATACGGTATACTTTTTAATTATATAATATATATAATATACCCTAAGTACGCGCTTAATATAATATAGTAATTTTAATATAAAAACTGCTATATAATTTAGAATAAATAAGCTACTTTTTATATAATAGCGCCGGCTAAAAAGGTCGATAGTAAAGGTCGGCCGTAATAATTACTTATAATAATTAGTTATAATAGTTAAAACGGCCCTTAACTATAAAGATTCTAAACTTAAATAATAATATAGAGGTTTTTAAAAAAAGAGCTAAATAAGCTAATATTTACTACTCTTTATACTAGAGCTTATAAAGATTTTTTTTATTCTTATTGCTTTTAATATTACTTATAGCTCTATTTAAACTAAATAAATTTACTAAATAAATCTATTAAATAAACCTATTAATATATAAACTACTACTTTTTTAGTATATAATTAGTAATTAATAAGCTAAAGATACTTATTAATAAGTCTACCTCTCTCGGGCTAAGTACCCTCGGCTAGCTCGACGCTATAGCTATTATAACTAATATAAATATACTTAAAAATTAGTAAAGTACTTTTTAATAATATAAAGTTTAGCTAAGTAATAATACGAATATTATAAATAGCCGGGCTAATATAAATATTAAAATTTAGTATATTAATATTAATTTAAAAATTATATTTTATAAAGTTAAAAATCTTTTTAATACGGGCTATATTATAAATATAAAAAAATATATAAGGGGCTTCTTAACCTTTAATAAGAAAGAGTATATAATATAGGCTTTAGTTATTTACGTAGGCTAGTATTAAGAAGTTTTATATATATTAAAATAAATATAGCTCGCTCTTTAAATAGCTAGAACTTAAAAGACTTTATATAGAGAAAGGTTAGGAGCTATTAATAAAAAAAAGATAATAGTTAAGTTAATTAATTACTATTTTAATTAGTAATTAGGTATAGAGCGTAATATACCTAGTTTTCTTTAATACGTAATATACGGTACGGCCCCGGTAGATTGCTCCGTTAGGGGGAAGGCTAATTATATATTAAAAAAGTAATAATTAAGTTTAATAAGACTACTTATAATTATAAGTACTTATTTAAATAATAAATTAAAGTGAAATTAATACTATTAACTAAGGGTAATAAGTACTTTTTAGTAATAAACGTTACTATTCTTTATAAAATAGATTTTATCTTTATATAATTACGTTAATATAATATTATACCCTACTTTATTTTATTAAGGACTATTTCTCTTCTCTAACTTTTTAAAACCGTGATTAATAAGCCCTTTAAATAGTAGCTTTTAAAAATACTTAATACTTACGTACTTAATAAAAACAAGTAATTAGTTAGTAAAAGGAGCTTAAGTAAGAGATTAACATAAAAAGGATAATAATTACCTAAATAGTCGTTATAATAGTTATATAATTAATTAATAAGAAGGGCTTAATAATTAGCTAGGCCTTTTTATAATACGGAATATTTATTTAGCCTAATAGTAATTAAGTTAATAAAGTCTAAATTAAAAATATATTAACTAAGGCTATTAATTATACTAAGTAAGAATTATATAATATAAAAACCTATATTAAGTATGAGACGCTATAAGTGGAAATTCTAAACTATACTGTTTAAAATAATAAGTTAGAGTATATTTTTATAATAGAAGACGTCCGTAATAATATTAATAAGTAGTATATTAACTTAATTATTTAATTTACTAAGTAATTAGGCTATAAGAAGTTAGGGTAAGGCTAGAAGCTAAGGGCTATTTATATAGTTTTTAATTAACCTTTTTATTTATTTTTATTAATTTAATATAAAAAGCTTAAATTCTTAATTTTATTAAAATAAATATTAAATTAAACTAATTATAAGTCTAGTCTCGGTAATAAGCTCTTGTTAAACCGATTACTTAAGATATTAGTTTATACTAAAATTTTACAAAAGTAACTTTGTTTACCTTGTTATTTGCCTTATTATCAATATTACGTAAGCAAACTATATACTATATTAATCTACAATTTTTATAGATTATTATAGGTATTAATTATATAAGTAATACTACTTATATGAGCTTACGTAAGCAATGAAAAATACCAAAAAGTAACTAAATAAACTAGAATTCTCTTAAGACGGAATTATATACTATAATTACGCATTTACTTATATATACGCTTATTAATTATATTATAATTAATAAGCTATAGAATATTCTAATAAGAGGTTTTCATACCTATATATAGGTATATATTTCCTTTTGGGGTCCGGTCCGCCTTATTAAGGGCTATATTTACCTTTATAGGCAAGCTAGTTTATTAGGGTTAATATCGAGTTTTTATTACGTACTTAATAAAACTTTATAACTAACTATAGCTAGCCGTAGCTATTATTAACTATTAATACTAACTAAACTTAAGATATTAATAACTCTATTATTATAATATATAGTGGTTTTTTTCTAGCTTTATAAGCGTAAAAAATTAACTTTAACGGGATTACGTTTTTAAAAGAAATTATATAATACGGTATATTTTTTAACTATATAATACGCGTAATATACCCTAAGTATATACTTAACGTAATATAATAATTTCGATATAAAAACCGCTATATAATTTAGAATAAGTAAGCTACCCTCTTTAGCTACTTATTAATAATAAGCTAAGTAATATACTTACATAGCGGCGCTAGTTAAAAAAGTTAATAATAGAGGTTAGCCGTAATAATTAGCTATAATAGTTAGCTATAATAGTTAAAAGCGGCCCTTAACTATAGAGGTTCTGAACTTTAATAGCGACGTAAAGGTTTTTAAAAAAAAAGTTAAATAAGCTAATATTTATTACTTTTTATACTAAAGCTCGTAAAGATTCTTTTTATTCTTATCGCTTTTAATATTACTTAAAACTACTCTTTATTTAAACTAAATAAATTTACTAAACAAATTTACTAAATAAACTTATTAATATATAAATTATTATTTTAATAAGAACTTACTCTTTTAGTATATAGTTAGTAATTAATAAACTAGAACTAAAGATATCCGTTAATAAGTCTACCCCTCTCGGGCTAAGCGCCCTCGGCTAGCTTAATGCTATAGCTATCGTAATTAATATAAGTATACTTAAGGATTAGTAAAATATTTTTTAATAATACGGAATTTAGCTAGGTAATAGTATAAACGCTATAAATAGCCGGGTTAATACGAATATTAAGATCTAATATATTAATATTAATTTAAAAATTATATTTTATAAAATTAAAAATCCCTTTAATATAGGTTATATTATAAATATAAAGGAATATATAAGGGGCCCCTTAACTTTTAATAAAAAAAATATATAATATAGGATTTAACTATTTATATAAGCTAATACTAAGAGGTCTTATATATATTAAAATAAGTATAGCTCGCTCTTTAAATAGCTAGAAGTAGGGGAAGGTCCGGAGCTATTTTGATTAGTAATTAAGTATAGAGCGTAATATATTTAGTTTTCTTTAATACGCAATATACGGTACGGCCCTAGTAGATTACTCTATTAGGGGGCTACTATTATAATATATTTATTACCTTTTTAATAACTAAATATTACCTCTTATTTTCTTTTTTTATTTTATTTAATAATAACCTCTCCTTAATATTTTTATTTAATATATTTACTTACGCTCTTTTTAAGCTCTTAATTATATTATTAAGTCTAGGCTTATTTATACTTTATTATATTAAAAAAGTACTAATAAAAGTAATACTTATTATAATATATTATTCTATTTTTTATAAGTTAATATTACTAACATAGTATTTATTAAAGTAATCTTTTTATAGCTTGGGGTCGTTTAGTATAATATTTATAAGATCGAACTTTTAATTATTAAAGAAGCCCTAAGGGTCGACGAGTTATTAACGTCTTAGTTTTTTAATAAAGTATATTTAAAGTAAATAGTTAAATAGTAATAGTAATAATAATAGTATAATAGTAATAACATAATAATAATAAATAGTAAGGGAAGCGTTTTTTAACTTTAATAAAAGAAACGAGGTAATAAATTTATATATGTATATTTGTTTTTTATTTCTACTTTTACTGGCTGCTCGGGCGATTCTCGATATCGTTTATACAGTATTAATACACAGTATTAGTGGATACTCACACTGTCTCGCTAGACTATTATATATATATATAAGTAAAATTAAAAGTACTAAGGTAAATATCGTGCTTATAAAGGTCGATATTATTTAATAACGGTAACGAGGGTATTTTTAATATTATTATTATAAGTTACTATTACCTAGCGAGCCGTAAACTTAGTTAAATAGTCGGCTTATAAAAGAGTAATATTAAGTATTTAATATTACTATTAATAATCTATAGTTATAAACTTTATAAAAGAGAAAGTTAAAAAGTTAGAAAATCTAAAGAAAATAGTTTATCGAGATAGTAAGAGTATTTAATAATACTATATATTAATATTATATAATTAATATTAAGAACTACCTGAGTAGCTAGTAAAAGTAGAATATAAAAATAAATATAGGTACATATTTACCTACTTAAACCTTTCGTAAAATAAGTAACTTCTTATATAATAATTTAACTATATTACTCTTTTTAATATAAAAACCTCTTTTATATATACTTATTATGCTTATATTTATATATTCTTATTTTTATATAAATATTTTTTTTTATGTTCTTTTATAAGAATATTCCGTATTACCTCGTTAAAGCTATACGTACTAAATAAAACTATATAGCGGCCGTATTTACTTAAATAAGGTAGTATTATAGTTTTACTAAACCGCTAGCAGGGTTAGCACGGGCTAACGTAAGTTCAAACGGCAATAGTATCTATAGTAATATAAGAAGAGAAGCGCGGCATAAGTTATATTAACTAAGGATTAATATAAATTATTATATAATATAGCTCGGGATCTAGCTCCCTAAAAAGAGTAAAGCTATTCCGCACCTATATAAAGGCTATCCCGCACTAATAATAGGCCTACTTAAGAAAATAGTAAACTATACGTAACTATATAGCTATAGTAGTTATAATTAACCCGGAATTTATATTATTCTAGTAGTTTTTTAGGAAAGCATAGCCTCTTCTACTATACTTTTTACTACTATACCTCCTACTTTACCCTATTCTATAACGCGCTTTTTAAAATCAAAATTACGACTTTAAAAACTAGTCTTTGCTCAGGGGAAATATATTTTTAAAGCCTATATTTTAATACTTAGAGAGGTACTTATCCTACTTTAAAAATAATTAAAAAAGGTAGTATTATACATTAAAATAGAAATAATAAGAAGGCGCGCGCCCATAGCCTAATATATAGCTACTACGGCTATACGGTTACGTACAGCCCACTATTTACTTAAGTAGGCCTAGTATAAGTACGGGATAGCCTTTATGTAAGTACGGAATAGCCTTACCCCCTAAAAGCACGCAGATTCTAAAATGTGCGGATAATAACCAGAGTTATTTCCGAGAATCGTATCACCAAATCTTTCTACATATTCTACTTAGCTCATTTTTCTTATACTAATTCGTAATATAGATAACTACTTAGCCTAACAATCTAATAAGAAGCTAACTTAAAAAACAGGATCCCAATCTCACGAATAAGCTTAGAAAACGATTTAAAATTAAATAATATAAAAAGTTACGAACTATTAACTAATAGTCGTAACGAACAATAAGAGTAGCAGTACAGTCGTACGAATAGAATAGTAATTTAAAGGTTTAGCAGTCTCGCTTTCTATCTAAAATTTCCTTACCTATAAACCGCTAAAAGTCTAAAAGTTAAATCGGTTAAGTTTAAAGTCTACGGCACATATAGCATTTATAATATACCTCTACCTAAAAGCCGGGTTAACGCTACCAGAGTCCAGGGCCAGTAACTTTTAGAAATAAGATCGAGAATCGGATCGGGATTTTTCACAGTTTTTTATAAAGAACCACCAACCATAAGTAATATACTACTATCTTCAATAGCGTTTTTCAAATTCATTTACTAAAACTAGCTAGGACTACATCCTATCTAATAAGTCATTAATTATATTTACATAGCGCCGTAGTCACTTAAACTAAACCTATTAATAAGAAAAGTTCTAAATATTACTAAGAGCACTTAGATCAGGCAAGCTATAAAATCACTATATATAAACTTAGCAGCACACATTCAAGCATAGTTTCACTAATAAAAGTAATTTATATTTTATAGCTTAAGTATACGCATAGATATATAGCGTTTACCTATCGGCTTTTATCTACTCTAAAGACCTACATATACTACTTCTCAAATACTTAAATTTTAGACCTTAAGTATCACTATCCAACTAGTATTTTCTATACTAAATCCCTCTCGTTAACTACTTAACGTTACTTAGATTATTATCGAACGTATCGGCCCGCCGCTAATTAACGAGATTAGTATTCTATCTAAAAAATCGCTATTATAAAATAACGCAATCAACTTTAAACAGAAGTCCCGAAGTTCTAAAATAACTTTAAACTCTCTTATAACCTAGATTTTACTTAAAGCTCTCTAAGTAACTAGCCAAACGATTAGGATAAACGCGCAAACTATTACTAAATTCACTTCGACTATTACAAATACGGCAGGCACACAACTATACTAAAACGGATCGAGGATAGGATATATACTTATAGCCGTATTAATAATAGAAACGAGACGACTAACGCTAATAGTAACGACACTATTAAAAAGATTAGCTATTTTAAAATTAAAAAAGCTAACTATTACTACGTAGAGTCTTTAAAAGGACTTATATATTACTAAGGACAAAAAAAAAAACGATACCGTAAATAAACCTCTTTTAAGCCGCGTACTACTAAGCCTAAAAAAGTAGTAGACCGCACACTAGCACGTTAAGTACTATATTCGTTATAACATAGCTAACGTACGTCCTTTTATAAATTCTAAGATTTAAAGAGCCGAACCCCTAGCGTACCGTAACTAGTTACGTAAGTTTCCATTAAAACGAAACAGGGTTATAAAGAAACTAAGTAATAATAAAATACGCTAGACCCCATATCGCCGTAATAATAATAACGATTATAGTTAGTCTAAATAATAGCGACCCGAACTTAAATATCATAAAATACTAAAAAAGTAAAGCGAGTTTAATAAAAGTTATAGCTATATAATACGCCGCGTTATAAATATAAAATATTTACTAAATCTTAGTATCCGCGCTTTATATTTCTTATTATTAAAACTAACCTTTATAAATACTTCTATACTAAACAGGCCAAGGCCCGCGAAATACTTACCTAGACTATTTAAAAGAGCTTAAAAAGCGTATTAGATTATATTTATTACCTTAATTTAGGATCCATTAGGCTCACCTATACACGTTACTATAGATAGCAAGGTAGTTATTATTTAGCAAAAAATAGGATAGACGAGTTAATATAAAAAGATAGAGACACTAAGCTCCCTAAAATTTATTAAGAACTTACTAACATTATTATAAAAAACCTATCGTCCTAGCTAGGCTAATAAACTACGCAAAACCGGATATATAAGCAGGCTAGGCTACACAAGTACGCGAAAATCTATATATAAACGTTAGCTACCTTATATTCGTATTTAAGTAGTCTTTAAACAGTCTTTAATTATAATAAAAATATTAAGAAGAGGGCAGTAGCATAGGTAGCATACTAAGAACATAATAATAATACCTAGCGCAGCTAGCTAACGATTAAATAACGGAGTTTCGTCGTAAGCGGTTTCTATCATTATAAATACTACCGTAGCTTATAAGAACAAAATAATATTTAGAGAATATTAATCTATAAAATAACGAGGTTAATTATGCGATTAGCGTACGAAGTCTAGCCCTTCTAAAAAACAAACATCTTCCTTAAAAGCGACTACGGAAGTAATAAAAAATACTAAGTAAGAAGGAAACCCTTTTATCTAACATTATAAGAATTATGGTTAATACTCTAAACTATCCCTATTACAATAACAATCCGCCAATAATTTAAACTCTAGTTTTTATTTCGAGGGGTTCTATACAAAGTTTATCCCAATATAATTATTAGCCCAGTTTAGGGGTTTAGTCGTTTTATTATTAGCTTTAGTATACTAGCCCTGCGCGTATACTACGGCCCCTAAACTATACCTAACTAAACTATTAAATATTCAGACGTTATATCGGTATATAAAAGGGTCGGTCTCCAATAAGCTCATTCTCTAGCTTATATATTTTATAAAATAAGCTTATAGCTAATAATCCTAATTCTAGTCGAGGCTAGAATAATTTCTATATCACGGTTATATCATAATAATAATTCTTTTATAGTACAACGTTATCTCCATAGCTCGGGCTAATCCGGCTACTTTAGGAGTCACATCGTAATAGAACTATCTAGGCTTCTTATTAATTAAAACTACCTAACAGCCTTAACTAAGCAAAATTAAGAACACCCAGTAACCTCATACCGCCCAAGATCTCTAATAATATAATAAAGAATCGAAGGGTATACCTAATTACGTCTTTACTATGATACTATAGCATAAGCGAAGGAAGGCTAGATTATAAGCTATAGTAAGAATATCATTATTTTTTATAAGATCTCTTAACTAGGGCCCAATAATAAGCCCGCATAGATTCGCATTACTATACTTAATCTTTCGTTATTTTAATTAACACTTACGAGCCGTTACGGTTAGGTCCTACGTAGCGACATTATAGTTCTATATTTAAATTAAAGAATAAGCTAAGTACTACAGCTCTTAGCCCTTATAAAACTATTAAATATAATAAGGTAATATACCCCGCAAAAATACGCGAGGTTAGCTTTATATCGACTCTCGCTTAAGTCTTTATATAATAATAGGTATAGCACTAAGCAACGCACTACTCATTCTTTTATAGCTACAGGCTAATATTTCTAACTATAAACTCTAGGTTAGAGTATCATAAGGCACTATCTCTATAAACCAAAATATTAAATAGGCTTTGCTAAATATCCGACCTAACGTTATAATAAGTATCGGAATAAGCTAATATACCCCCTAAACTAAATAAATTAAAACTTTTAGTTAAGAGAACCGGGCTACGAGCGGGCGGGACGGAAGCTTATAAGTAGAGGCGGAGCCGAAAAGCAGCTTAAGCGCATCCTAAGCTACTTATACCAAATCTCCAAAAGAGCAGTAAACCGCCGTACGAACAATCGGGGTACTAAAAGTAGTAGTAAATAA